AAGTGGGACACAGTACATCTAGTACATGAATTATAATGAGGAAAATAATTCACATAATCAGCGACTTTTGATGAATTTTCATTTGGGATTTTATGAGGAGAGATGGTGAAAGACAAGTAGATAGGCAGATGTGGTAACAAACAGATACATTTATGGATGGACAGTTGGAGGGTTATAATATCCTCACTGTTTAGTATCAGGTATGGGGCTAAAAAGCATGCATATAGCTTCAATGCAGCCATCATTGCCTGCCAAGGTTCCAATAACCCATTCAACACCATGGCTGATCCAACAACTATATTGGTGCATTGTCCTAGCAACATCCATTTCATTTCATGTGTTGACTCCCTTAGTATGTAATGCCAACTAATCATTAGCATGGTGCATTGTAGGTACAATGGCCAAAAACTGTAGTGGCAATTGACCTAAAAAGGATAATTGGTAAGATTAACATCAAAAGTATTATTACATACCAGAGGGAAGTCAATACAGGTTTATTTGAGAGAAAGGTATTTGAACAAAGACAGACTGGCAATGGAAAAGTTCATATTTATCAGTCCATTCAACTTGTGTGTTCCCATTGTCTTGATCACATACGAACAGTGTTCAAATTTGAACAACTTAATTTTAATTGGATGTGGTGGCTTGCTGCTGTATCCAATGAAATTCACAGATCCAAAGCACAAAAATAACTGTTAATATACCAAGGTGTGGATAGGGTTATCTGAACCTTCGCTAGCAAAGAGGCAAAGTGGCTTATATCTCTGCTTTTCTATATTTATACATCTCCTTTTTTTTCCAATACTATCCATCACCTGTCCTGAGGTGGCTGGATCAAAAATTCTATAACTATTGTGTAAAGAACCTTTCTCCAATAACTCCTGAAATTGTGAAGCACCTTTCTTATTGTGTAAATGTTAACAATTGCTCTAAATGGGAAGGTTGTATGTTTTATGTAACTTCTTTTTGCAGAAAGTACCAAGAACCAAATCACAAGAAACCAAGCTTTAAGGAATGAGATCAAGCTAATGGGGTCATCATCTTTTCTGTCTTATACAGAACTACTTCAACTGTTGGAAACAAGGTATAATCATTTTATTAACTTATATTAACATTAAGTACAGTACAGTAATATTAATACTCATATAAAGCTGCATCTTTTGTACATATGAACAACTTTCATGCTTTTTTTCAAAATTAGTAACCCTGTACATGAATATGCATTTAGTTGTTAGTGTCATGCAGGAATTAACTGTTCCAGTTGAGTTATATATTCCCACAGCTCTGCTAAATACCAGTAAACTGTTTATTAAGATTTTTCTGTTAATTATTTCTGAAATAATAATAATAATAATAATAATAATAATAATAATGATTTCTCTATCGAAAGAAGATAACTTAGTTATATACATCCAATCTCCCTTAAGGTTTTCAATCTATCTACACACAAACACACACACACAACACACACACACACACACACACATATTTACAAATAATGCAATTTTTTTTCTTTATTGAAAAAATAACTATTTATAGGTAAACAATGAATAAACACAATACAAACATAATAAAAGTTTGTTTTAATTTCGTATATACATTTTTGTTTCATCTCTTCAATGACTATGTTTTGAAAACGACTTTCATCAAGATCTTCCTGTATACATAGCAGTTAATGATCCCTTCTGCTTAGTTATACCATTATGCTATTCTGCAAGAATGTGGCATGTAATAAGTGTACATCAGTATTATATTGACTCATAAAACAGTAATAGGTACAAAAGTAGAGAAACATAACAAATTCAAACTTTAACATTTTCTAGTTTGTTCATTAATATGAAGGTTTGAAATATTGAAATATATTTATCTTAGATTTAACTGAATTAGCAGGTCAAATATGAGCAGGATTCGAGTTCCATATTTTTGCCCTGAATGTAACTGCAGACTTCTTTTAAATTGGTCAATGCAAACTTTTGGTTTTTATAAACTGTTCTTAAAATTTGATCTCAGATTATAGGGAAAAGATATTTTATAGAATAACTCAGTCAAGTAGTTTGGAATATCTTTGATAAATTGAAACACCAGAAATGCTTTTAGAAAATTTATTCTCTTGTCTATTTTTAACCACTTTAATTCACTGAACATGTCAGATGATGAAGATACATACATGGAAACATAAAAATGAGCTGAGATGCTCATTTTTGAAGCATGTAAATTCTATCTAGTTGGGAACTAGTACCATTTCTCCATATGGTTGAACAGAAGTCAGTCATTGGAAATATATAAGCATTATAGTACAGAATGCTGGAGTTCTTTGTCAGGCAATTTTTTATGTTAAGCAATGAAATTATAGATCTAAGTGACCTACACACATTGTCTACATGTTTTTTTTTTCATTTAAGACTTCTGTTAAAAATTACTCTTAATGTCTTCTCAGGGTTTAAATTTTCACCTGCCTTATTATTATTTACATTTTCAACTGCCTTATTATTCATCTACAGTGATATGTCTCTCCATTTTGATGTTTTGACTTGGCAAGAAAGTTTGAGTGTTATCATCTAAGTGGCATTGCAAGGAAAAAGCTGGAATTAATAAGATTTGGTTGTATGGCACATTTTCCAACACAAATTGCATATCAGGATGATTTTCTTATAATGCTGACATAAATGTCTTTTAAGTTTATTAATTTCTTTTGTAAAGCATATTTATTAAAGAAACATTTCAAGCTTGTAAGCCACTGAACAGTTTCTTAGCAGTTGTAGATCTTACAAAGCATAAAAATGCATGTGTGCAGTTAGTACATTAAGTTTCAGTGTGTGTGTGTGTGTGTGTGTGTGTGTGTGTGTGTGAAAAACAATATCATGATGATCCCAATGATGTTAAACCCAAATTGTCAAATACATTGGACAAAGCCAAACTTTACAAACTCAGTCCTGTAAAAGAGGTAACATATGTTGAATTTGCAAATGTTTTTAGATTTTCCATCCATCATCCATATATAAGTCAATTTGGAGTATAAAAGGAAGCCAGATCAATAACTTGGATTCATCTGTTTTGCTAGTAACATTCAGCTTCATGAATATTAATGACTCTGCTATTTCAGATTAAATTGGAAATTGCAGTCACTGTTACTAGCATGCCTTTCCTCGGTTTTATTTTGGAGAGAGATAGAGGTTTCAGTTTGGTTGTAATCTATATTGTTCAGTTTCCTGATGATTGTGATCTTCCTTGAGTACAAGTGCACTTAAACTATGTTCATTATCAACTGGCACTTCAGAATAACCAATTCAATCATGTTGTAATAGCTCTCAGGGGTGTGATGTGGTCCCCCTTGCTTGGTACTTTGGTTATCATTATCTAGCCAGATTATCAACAACTATTATTGTTGTTGTTGTTGTTATGGGGCTTAATGCCATTTTTCATCACAAGACAGGCTCTACATGGTGGCCAGTATTAATGGTGGAAGAAGAACCATGAAAAACCCCGAGAAGAACCACTGATCCATGAGAATCTACTGGCAGGCTTTCTCACTTACCCACGTTAGCGAGTCTGGAGTCTGGACTCAAACTCATGCAGAAAGAGGTCAGATGGCAGTGATCCAAAATTTTAACACTTTTATTGATTTCAGAATAATTCTCTCTACCTTTATTAATAACTATTCTGGAAAATATCATTTTATGACACCTAGTTCAAATAGCTCAAGATTTACCAAAATGTTCTCTGGCTTGTCTTAATTTTGTCATTTTCACTACTTAACATTTCATTCAAATATATGTCTGACCATTATTCAAATGGACTCTAATTAAAATTCAATTATGCCCCCAAAAAAGAAATTTTACCCATGGCAAGCTACCAATTTATTGTGAGCCTATCGCATATGTCAGTCTTAATGGTTAAGTGTCATGCTGACCATGACAGAATGTACTGTGAAAATATCTGCAGAATTTTGTACAATCACAATTATCCATTATCACAAGAATAATGTGGTGAAGCAGTGTCATTTACCTGTTAATTAATATGCCTAGAGCTTTACCAGGTTATTTCAGTTGATACCTGTTTGAGGGCAAAATTCAGCAGATCAAGTTATTGAGGCTACCAATAGTGAAATGAGACTATCCATAGGAATATGAAAAATGTAAAGATAATTAATGATAGAGAAAAACAGAAATGTCATGGAAATCATATAAAAGAATAAATAAAAGTCCTTACAACAACAAACACGTTGCCATTGGCTGATGTTCATTATTTTTGTCCAGAGAAGACAAAGGGCATCATTTCTCATAGTTCTCAAGCAACTCACTATAATTGCTGTGGAATAATGCTAGAGAACAAAATGGTACCAGCATTGCCCATTAACTGTACTCAAAGCCAATATTAGAGTTTATACAGTTACAGTAACTGGCTTTGATTCATGTTGAAAACTAAAGACCAATCCATCAATTACCAGTATAATCAAAGAGAGATACCAATACAACAGCTTCTTAAGAATGAATACAGATAATGTGTTGACAATTTATATTTTGATTCAAGTTGAAATACAAAAAAGCAGAGCTTTAATGACGTATTAGCAGTCAATCTCCATTCTGTATGTTAACCTACATTTGGGATGTCTTTGGTGAATATATGACAGTATAGTGAATATATGATAGTTATGTGCTTACATTAAACATTCAAATCATTAATAAACAGTATTTTATAAATATTCATTGAACACTCAAATCATTAATATACAGTATTTTATAAATATTCATTGAACATTCAAATCATTAATATACAGTATTTTATAAATATTCATTGAACATTCAAGTCATTAATATGGATTACACCCTTTGTTGGATCAGTAATGAAAAGATGTGCTGGGTAATCACTCAAGTGCATAAAATAAAATACTGGTAGATCAAATATGGCTAAAATTTGATAAGGAAGAAAAAGGTATTCTGAAAGAAAAAGATGAATGAAGACAAATCCATTATTATATTCATTTTTCATTTTTTGTTTTGGACCATTCCAATGGCCTAAGAGGTTAGAGTGTCTGCCTCAGATGCAGAAGGTCATGGGTTCAAACCCCAGCTGAGTCATACCAAAAACTTTTAGAAATAGTACTAAAAATTGCCTTGCTAGGTACTCAGCATTAAGAGTTTAGTGATATGACTGGTTGTCCGGTGTCAAGATACACTACTCCCTTAATAACTTGCACACAGTGGGGTCCAAAAACATGTTATAAGCGAGGGCACAAGTTATCGAGGGACCTATAGCAAACAGCAAAACAAACAAAGGGATTGACATAGAGGCAAAAGGGGTTGGTGGGTTGGGATGGCATTTTATTGTTGAATACTCAATAATTGTGCTATGATTAACTGTGATTAAATATCTCTTCATAGTGGTGTACTTTGTTTACTTCTTTCCTCACAGAGTAACACCATGATCACGTTGCTGTGTGAACCATATGTACACCGTATAATCTAATTCATTTGTAATCCATGCTCGTTTTTATTTGATGCTATTATCTGAATCAACATCATGTAAATAAAATCAAAGTTTTTGCTCATCCTCAAACCAACCTCTAAATGTCAACTCAACAATTGTTTAATTCATTGCAAAAATTGGATTTCACTTCACCATTATGAACCCTATCTATGATGCATAGCTTTTCAGTCACAGAGTACACCTTTCTCTAACTTACTTTGCTCTCCATGGTCACATTTACAAATGATTAGGATATATTACTGATATCGTATACTTTAGTGATGTTAAGTACATACAAATGTCAAACTATTTTCAACGGGTCAAATAAAATAAATTTTGAAAACGGTAATGACCTCAAGAACTTATGCTGCTATGGGCATGCCTTTGCTATTTTTTTATTGTACTTCTCTTGCTAGATTAAATCCAGAAGACATATTCAAAATGATAAAACAACACAGGTCTCATTTAATTGATTTTTTAATGCAAAAAACACTTCCCCAAGTTGTTAATCAAACTAAACCAGCATTTAATTAGATTCTCACTGAAGTACTCATGGGTTTCGATGTGACGGTCGATCGACTCTTTTCGTTTTTTTCATAGAAAAATTATATGCGGTCATAGTGTTTACACTGAATCGAAATTAAAGGATTAGAACGTGAATTTCTCCTAGCAAGACATTTTTTTGGTGTTTATTTCATTCTCAGTTGCCACCTGTTAGCATCAAATTTACCTGAATTTTTCATTATTCCAGTTTTGCCAGACTATTTTTTTTACAGAGTATTGACAACTATTTTTTCCAAAAATCTTCAAACATAATATGAGACATCTTATTAGAACTTGAAAATTTCACAATATGGATTCTATCTTTATGGCAATAATCACCATTTCTGATGATATAATGAGCTACCGTATTTCATGTATTTTTTTTGTACCTTTTAATTTTTCAAAATAATATCAATATAATAATTAAATGTATCATAAATACTTGTACATATCAATAATATCAAAATAATAATTATTAAAATGTATCATAAATATTCCTACATATCACTTTATATTATTTGAAAAATTGGTTAAATTATCAGACATAAAATTTCCACTAGAAGGATTTACTTTTGCAAAAAAGATCAAAAATACTATATTCTCATTTTCTTGTTACAAAAAATAATGATTAATAATTATTTTTCAAGTGCAAATAATTACATAAAATACGGTATTTATCAAGGTTCAATTTACTAATTCTTATCGTGATTTTTTCACATTCAACACATTTTAAAATATATTTTCTTTGGAAAAAAATTTGAGAGCCATTCCGGACACCTCGTTATAAGTGGATTTGCAAGTTACCTGGGTGCGAGTTATCAAGGGAGTGGTGTAATATGACTGGGTGAGACATGATGCTACATGGCATGATGCCTCAATGCTAGACAACACTATAAACTGCCACACTGTAGACATCATATCAATATGACTGGATAATTCTTATGTTAAAAAAAAATCCAAATCACATGTAGTCTCTTTTGTTTTTAGGAAAAAATTGTTTTGCATAAGTAAATACGTAACGAATAATAAACTTGTACCATGCAGCCCATAAATTGTGAAATCTTGTTTCATCAAATACAACCACATACAATTGTATACAAAATAGTGATAAAAATGATAAAAAGCAGCCATATTAGTTTATAACAATTTCATGACATGGTAATTTAGCAAGAACTGAAACAACTTTGTGACCTGATCATTAGTAATTTCCCATTCTCAGAGCCTAAATACCTTAAGAATTCAATTTTTTGGCAATATCCCACTGCCTTCATCAGCAGCTATTTGTGACTTTTAACAGCCATGTGATCCGAGGAGACTGGTGCAGATGGGTGGTAATTTAAGCCCTTTGTCCCTGCTTATTGTTGGCCTACACTGTCATATTTTGATTGCTTTCTTCACCTTTTCCAGAGTGATTCCAAGTCTGTATTTTAATGTTTGCTGGTAAATGTCATAAATTTATTCATCTGGCAGAGAATTTTTTAATTCCATCTCATACACATGCTTAAGGAACTCTTCTACTTTCTTTAATTTTGTCAAGGGCAATTCCTATTTTAATTCTTTATTAAGGTTTAAATTTCTTGTTGGATTTTATTGTACATTAAGGTGGCTGGTCTGTAGCATTCTTGTAGCAATTTCTTTATTTCATGGTACATAATTTGTTGTGCCTTCCATCAATGGATAAATGTTTTCAATTGAATGCTTTTGGGTATGACATTTGTGTGGTGGCATCAAAGACTGAAATGGAGATGATCTTTCCAATAGGCCAATTTCAAATAACCACCCTTCAAATATTGCATGTGTAGCAGGACTTCATGTCCAAGTTGACTTCAGGATACAACTTAAAAGGTTGCTTCCTTGCTTTGGATAATTCATGATTATCAGTAATTTACCATGCTCAGAACTTAAATGTCTTTAGAGTTCAAAATGTTTGGCAAGAGCACACTGCCTTCATCAATGTTATTGACAAAAATCTTGAACTCTTAAGATATTTGTGCTTTGGACATGAGAAATTGCAAATGATCATGAATTATCTTGAGCAAGAGAATAACCTTTTAAACTGTAGCTGTGAAACCTTTTTTTTTTTTTTTGATCATTACATCTCAATAGCTTATATAGAAATAGCTGTCAATGATAAGCTTAATGTGTTTATTGTAGGAAAGGTTGAGTTTTAGTTAGGATATACTGAATATCAATTTAGAAATTTTGATAAATATTGTTCACTTCCTTACTTTTATTTTTCAGATAATGATTAATTAATCTGACAGTGACAAAGTTCATAAATATATAAGGCAAATCTTTTTTTTTGTTGAATTTTTAACTTATTATTTAGAGTTTAGTGTATTAGTTCACCAGATCTTGACCAAAAGACCATGTGAGTTTTATAGTTTACTTTGTACATTTGGTATGCATCATCTGGTATACATTATTCAACAGCTATAGCCTTCTCAGCTACTACTAAACCATTGGATCATTTTCAACCAAACCCAGCAGACAGCATTTTGGCCTAAAGGCCTTGCATATTTGTACAAATGATTCTGATCTACCATCAATATAGCCACCATTATAAGGAAATAAAACTTTTAATTTCTCATAAACCAATGAATAGAATACAAAAAGCATCATAGTGTAATGGATTTTTTGTTAAATTTTACAAAATGCCAATTCAAAATCACTGTTACTAAAAATATAAAAACATTTAAATGACTTCATATAAAAAAAAACACTGGAGAGAAGTTAACAGAGAGCATAAAGGTCTTTGGATGCTGATCTGCCATGAGATATAGCAATCATTAAATATAGAATAAGCTTTAAATGACTTCTCAAAAACCACAGAACGTAATTTGAATAAATTGGGAAAAAAGCACTCAGGCATCCAGACCTTTTATATTTTTTTTTTGCATATGGTGCAGATTCACATTAAATATGACCATCATTATTATAAACAGATAAAACAACTTATTACTTACAAATGCACAAACCCCTGGAAAGAATCCTGGCCTGAAGACATTTTAATTTTGCACAGATTATGATGACACTGATCCACTATGGTAATCAAACTGGCTATTGTAACTAAAAATAGACAATCCTTTACAAAATAAGATAAACAACCTACTGAAGTTAATGACATTTTACAGAAAGTCTCCAGGCTGTAAGGCCTTTCAAATTTGCACAATGTTTAATAGTTGTCAATTTTGGTTGCCCTTAAAAAAAATATTAAAACCTTAAAATATCAGAAAGGATCAACTTGAGGCTCTTGTTTGTTTATTTGTTGTATTTATTTTTAATTTATTGTGAATCAATTTATTTCTGTATGTAGAAATAATTAAAGGTAAACATTAGAATTACAAGTTTTTTAAGTAAAAAAAAAACATTTGCTTATTATGAAAAAGAAATAGGTACTTTTTACAAACAATCAGAAAATGAAAAACATGATTTACATGGATTGATGTGTATTGCAAATAAAAGATGGCAGAAAGTTATCAAAGAAACACTGAAAATAGTTTTGTGTGACCTTTTAGTAGTTTTAAGTTCCAGTATTGTTCTTATGGTTATGAAAGAATACAAAATTTGGTTCTACTTTTAAATGTTACAGATACAACCTGCAGTTTCTAGAGCGGGACTATACAGCACTCATGTGTGGGAAAAAAAATTATTTTTCTGACATTGACATAGATGAGAGAAACTGTGTGCTTCTATATTCTTTACATGAAGTCTCTGATGAGTCACAGGTGGAGAGACTCACAGAGAGAGTCCTAGCTCTTAGTCTCAAGTACCAACATTGCTGGATGATACTTATGGCTATACCAACCTTGGGAAGGTGAGAATAGATTGATCAGACAGGGCACAAGACTTTTCTAGTTCATTCTGCATAGCATCATGAATGATATCTGCATCTTTTCTCATTTCATCCTCATGTCAGTGTCTTGAAATCTTGCTAAAATTACCAAATTTGTTTCATGCATGAATAATATAAACATAATTCATATTGATGTACAACTCAACACTATTCATTTGATACATGCTGTGAAAGACTGGTATGTGTACATGTAATCCACCATGTTTGTCCTTT